GAGAGAGAGAGAGAGAGAGAGAGAGAGAGAGAGAGAGAGAGAGAGAGGTGGAGAGAGTGGGGAGGCCAGAGGACAACTGCGGGAGTCACTTCTCCTCTTTTCCTCCCATGAATCCCGGAGAAGGAACTCAGACGCACCAGCTTGGCTGCAAGGTCACTACCTTATCCTCTGAGCCCTCTAGCTGCCTTCTGTTTTCAGTGCATTGGTTGAAGGTGTGGACAAAATATAAGCAAATGTTGCCTTCCAGGCTGGGTGTGGTGGCACATGCCTGTAATCCCAGCACTGGAGAGGCAGAGGCACTTGGATATGGGAGTTGGTGGACAGCCTGGTCTAAAGCAAGTCCCAAGACAGCCAGAGCTGTTACACAGAGAAACCCTGCCTCAAAAAACAACAGCAGCAACAACAATGTTGTCTTCCAAAGCTGAAGTCATTACAAGTAGCTAGATATTTGAGGAAATCTTGTGTAAGAATTTAGCTTCTTGTTCCTTCTCTTCCAAGACTCTGCCCCAGGAGCTACTGCTGCACACCAGTGAATTAATCACATTATATTCTAACAAATACACGCTGGGCAGGTGCCTCAGTCTCCATAAAAAGACTACCCAGTGTTCATGAGGCAGTTTCTGATCTCGGGCCAGAAGGGACAGGCCCTTTAAATGCACACTGGGATCTTCAGGGCACTTAAACCTACCTGCTGAAATTTAATCCCTATTCCCAGCACAGGGGGCAGAACGGCACAAGCAGGGGACACGGGCGTCAAGAGGTACCCAGCAAGCGGCTCCGTTTAGCAGCATCCAAAGCCTCCTTCATATGATTACCATCTGATAGCTCTCTCTCTGTGAATCAAATCCACTTCCAGCCAGGCCACCTCTCCTTTATCTGCATAGTCTATTTTAAGACTGCTCCACTGTGAGGAGAGCGGGGCCTAGGCAGGAATCCTGTCACTTCTCATGTGACTTTGGGCAAGTTATTGGACTGTTCTGAGGCCGGTTCCTCCTTCACTTAGAAACAAAACCAAAAAACAGCAAGAAACAAACATGGGTTCTTTCCAGAAACGTGGAAAGCAAGACTCGGCAGCTTATACTCCAGCATGGTCTACTCGCGCACACACAAACTAATGTGTGTGCACATACACACACACACACACACACACACACACACACACACACACTAAATATATTTTAACACAGCCTCTGAGTCTGGCACATTGACTTACAAGGCTTCAGATAAGGGGTCCCTCCTTTTCCGTGCCTTTGAGCATGGAGGTCACTGCTTTAGTGAGATGCTTAAAAAGCCACTGTTCTTATCTCTGCAGCTTTGCCAGTGTGGGCTGTGGCTGCGAGCCAAAAGTAGCCCCGGCACCTCTTGCCGAATGCCTGGGGTGATAGTGTACACAGCTTCACTCTTGCATTGAAGTCTCTCTTCTTAACATCAACTAAAATAGCCCAGGAACTTCAGCATAAGCTAGAGCAGAAGGTGGGAACGTAGTCTCTGTCTCCAGAACATTAAACAGAGATGAGGCGTACTAGAGACAGGGGTTACATCTCTGTGATACTCAGAGATCCAGTCAGTACAAAGGAATAGGCTATCCCTCTGTTAGCTGCCCAAACCATGCAACATCTTATAGGTTACATATTAAAATTCTGCTAAGCCTGGTAAGATGGCTCAGTTGGCAAAATGTTTGCCAGACAAGCACAAAGACCTGAGTTCTAATCCCATGCTCCCATGTCAAAGCTGAGGGAAGGGGGAGTAGGAGGGCAGATGGCTGGAGCCCAGGGGCCATGAGCTCCAGGTTCAGTGAGAGTGAGAGACCTTGTCTTAAAAATAAGATGGGGGGGGTGATAGAGCAAAATGTGAGGTGCCAATCTCCGACTGCCACATGCACATGTGTACATGTCCCCACACAAGCAAACATAGATGTGCCTGTGCATGCGTGCACACACACACTTTCTCACCAGTTGTATATAACAGTAATAAAATGGCTAGCACCTGTTGACTGTTTACTGATATTCCTTTGGGGGGATTCATGACTTTAACTTCCTGCTGGGGGCACTAGCAGTGACAGGCATAGAAACAGAACAATGAAGGCAAAGCTTGGATTGTTTCTAGGTTATTCTAGGTGGATGGGACCCATGCACCAGACCAGGAGCAGAGATTTCCTCTGACTTTCCCCTTCAGTACTAGGACGTTTTCTTTCTTCTTTTCTGTCTCCTGCTGCTGGTTTTTGGGAGGCCCTGGGTGCCACCCTCCAGCCTGTATCCTCTGTCACTATTTAGCACCAACCTCCTTCAGTCTCTGACTCTGGTGGCCCTGCAGAGGAGAGGCTGCCCCTTCCTGGCCTGCCGATGAGGAAGGTTTGTCACCGGGCAGGAGGGAGTGGCCTGCAGGCTTCTGTTCTCCCTGACCCTCAGAAGAAGTGACCGGAGAGCTTACTCTGCCTTTTGTATCAGCTTTCCCAATAGCCAGGACTCTTGGCACGGCATCCAAACTCAGGGTGTTGAGAGTTCGAGACAGCCCAGGGGAGCGTGGAAGAACTGAGGGACGAAAGCAGTGCCGCCTTTGGTTTGTACCAAGGGGAGGGGAGCCGGCTCCATAGCCTGGGGTGTGTCGTTTCTAGCTGGAGTTAGAGACCTGCAGGGAGAAGGTGTGCAATCTCAGCAGCATCCTGCCTCTCCCGTGTAATGTGATTGGCAGCAAGAAATCCATCTTTCCAGGTGTGATGTGGATAGCTCCATGCTTTATTCTCACTTCGCTTGGAAGGGGTCCCAAAAGATTTTTTTTTTTTTTATGGGCAGGGAAGGGAGGTTTGGCATTGCCTTCTAGTTGTTAAATCATACCCATACTTCTGACTTCAGGGGCCAATGAAGTCAGATCTTATTGCTTTTTTGTTTCCCCCTCCACTGTGGGAGGAGAAAGGCAATGATGCCTGTTAGTTCCCAAATCCAGTTTACCAGTTTGAAGAATCCAAGCTGGGTGCCTAACCCGTATGACTCAGAGGTTAATCCGGCTCTTTCTGGAGCCTAGAAAGCCAAGGTGTGGATGCTGCCTTGGTGCAACTCAGAGGACAGGATGAGGTAGAGAATGGGGACTTGGGGTGACATGAATATGAACTGAGAAGATGTGATAACTGCCACCCGGCACATGGGGCCCACTTTCTCAGTGGGTATCATGAGGTAATTCCACTGTGGAAAGCCAGGCCCCTCACAGGCCCCTCAAGTGGCTAGTCAGCCCGTCGGCAGACTCCAAGTTCCCAATGAGACCGACTAATCTCCCTTGCCCCTTGCTAAGGGCTCAGGTTGGAGGCTGGAAGGCTTAGAAATAAATAGAACCGGGAACTTGATTCATTCATTAGTGGGCTGGTAAATGCCACTTCCTACGGTGGCGATAGGCATAGCATGTCACCGGGTATATCCGTCACAGAG